GAGACCACACACACACACACACACACACACACACACACACACACACACACACATACACACAGGCGTCGTGGAGCCCCAGCTGATTGATCAGAAGTGTCTGATCGCTTTGGGTCCAGGCTGAATTTTTAAGTTCTGGGACGCCAGATCAGTGCTGACCTGTACAATCACTCACTGCTGACCGAGCCATTTCTGCCTCATCTGACCCTTACAGACCACAGAAAACTGACCTGAATAAAGCCAGGTCGTGCAGACACACCTTAGGATTTCAAACCACATACATTTCAACTCCAGCACTGCAGAATTTGATCTCAGTTCAGTTCAGTGACAGTGTTGCTGTCGTAAAATTCATCAATCATGAAACAAATCCAATTTCAGCGGTAAAGCAGCTCTACAGAAGACCTCGGAGTCATTATTCAGATCAATTCAGTTCAAGTCAGTGCAGTAAAATCAATTATATTACTGAATATCTCAGACGAGCTGATCTGTGCTGGTCTGGAACCACAGCAGCGGGTCAAACCTGTACATCTCATCAAAATACCACTAAACACTAGTGCACAGAGGGAATTATGGGAATAACAGCTCAAAATGAGATCATTATATGCAAGCACTAAGCATAAGTTCCTGAAAGTGCAATGCTAAAGTACAATGATCTTTATGCCATGACTGCTATTAATGGAAGATTCAACAAACTCAAACGTTTGGCAGTGGGACACAGAATGCGGCTGAAACCTCCTCTAGTGGTACAAACCATGTGACTTCCTTTAATTAGAGCGAAATCTACTGTATTCCTGACTAACGCTCTGTGAGCACATACAGCATCTTTACAGGAGCCAGACACAAACACAGACACTAGCAACTGGTCTGACTAACTAGCAGTTCACTGAGTGATGATCAGATTCAAACTAGACCAAGTTTTGTGAAATTGACTTTAAAACGTTATGAGCAGTCATGCAGAAAAATATTAGGCTGTTGCTAGATGGTTGCTTACTGTTTAGAGTGGCAGATGATAGATAGATAGATAGATAGATAGATAGATAGATATTATCAGATGATAGATAGATAGATAGATATTATCAGATAGATAGATAGATAGATAGATAGATAGATATGATTGTTCACTGCAGTCTCGTACCTTCCTGGCTTTGTTCTTCTTCTCGTACGTGTCTGACAGCGGTTTCTTCTTGGTCTGGACGGTGGCTTTGGAGAACAGATCCTCAAACTCTTGTGTGTTTATGATATCAGGCTCTTCCAGTGAACTCCAGAGCGTGTTATTACTGTAACACACACACACACACACACACACACACACACACACACACACACACACACACACACACAGACAGATATCGGTATCAGACAAACACTCAGCTCAGCTGGTCAGCTTTAGTTTAAGGCTCATTTCATGTCTAGAGTTTATTTATGCGTTTAAAGACTCAAGCTGGAGACTGATGGGAAGTATTTGGCTGATTCAGACTGCAGTATGGCGTCCGTGGATGAGAATTATTGGGTTTCTGCCGTTGCTGAGAGACACGAGCAACACAAACAGGCCGATGGTGTACAAGGGAGTCTTTAACGACACTCCCGCCTGCCTTCACTATCGCAGTTTCCACTGCTTTATCCCGAGGAAAAAAACTCATTTCAGACAATACAGATGATCCGTATCCCAGCAGCTTCGCTTTGTATTGAAGGATCACAGAGTTCAGGAAGGTCATTAAGGTCACCTGGTCATTGAAATCACCCTAACCCATGTAGTAACCTTATATTACACATTACTTTCTTAGGTAATACACTGTAAGTACACACAAGTGCACATACTGCAAAATAAAGTGTAACCCTAATGTTTCAGCTCAGATGTTTCTCCTAAAATAGACGCAAAAGAGTCACTAGTTGTGATTTTGAGCCATAAAATGAACGTGGAGCAGCTCGGATCATATTGAAAACTCAAACCTGAACACAGATTGAGACGTTCTTGAGACAAATGTGAGATCACTGGGGTCTTTTGTCATATTTACCGCTAAAATACTCTTTAAGACACTTTACCCTAGTGTGCAGTTTATATCAGAGTTATTACAGATAACTAAAACTAAATCTGAACAATATAAAAAAAATGAAATAAAATAAATCTTGAATGAAATAATGAAATAAAATATAAAAAATTATTTCATTATTTAATTTCTTATTTTAATTTAGTTAAACTTAATGTACTAAAATAACTAAAACTAAATATGAAATAAAAATTAATAAAATTAAACATATTAATAAAATAATAGTATCTCAATTATACTAAAATAACACTGGTTAATATCAGCTCAGAGCAGAGTTATTATTGTTAACAAAAACTATAATAAAAAAATTGTTACTTGAAACAAAATAAACTATCTAAAAAATAATAACTAATAAAACAAAATGTAAAAAAATAAACATTTTATTTCAGTGTTTTTGCTTAAAACAAGAGCAAATATCTGCCAATGTAGTCAGTTTGAATTAAGTTGATCTTTCTGATATTTATTCATGCTTTAAGCTTAAAATCACTTCATTTTGATCAATTTCTCAGAAAATAAATCCTCATATCTTATATCATTTTTCTTGTTTCCTAATTTAAGAATATTTAGATATTTGTACTGGAAAGCAAATCAAAAATACTGAGTAAGAAAATCACGTTTTGAAAGTGTGGACATCAGTGTTATTTTATTATCACTGATATACGATTATAGATTTATCAATATTTTGGATTGTTTTTATTTTCATCTTTTCTGTTTTCATTTTAATTTTAGTTACAAGTTACAAATAAAGTCAGTAACAGTAGTATTCAGGTGCAGAAATGTAATAACTACGTGTAAAATAACATAATAGTGCTCACTGCACAAGTTAAATACAGATCTTTGTTAGAGCTGTGGTGTTATTTGATTAGCAGAAGCAGGTATTTACTGGCTGCTGTCTCTTTAAGACCAAATGCACGGACATAATACTGACACACATCCGGTTTCTTTCTAAGCTGTTTACATTCATTTAAGACATAACCGACTGCTTTTACTAGAATACTTGCCAAAGAGACTTACTTCTTGTCCTGAATCTGGATGCGGTTCCAGTAGAGTGGTTTCATGGCTCCTGGAAGAGGTGGAGGAGGGGGCGGGGCATGTGCGAGTCCAGGTAAGGGCGGAGGAGGAGGAGGGGCGGAGCTTCCAGGAAGAGGAGGCGTTGATCTTTCTGATATTTATTCATGCTTTAAGCTTAAAATCACTTCATTTTGATCAATTTCTCAGAAAATAAATCCTCATATCTTATATCATTTTTCTTGTTTCCTAATTTAAGAATATTTAGATATTTGTACTGGAAAGCAAATCAAAAATACTGAGTAAGAAAATCACGTTTTGAAAGTGTGGACATCAGTGTTATTTTATTATCACTGATATACGATTATAGATTTATCAATATTTTGGATTGTTTTTATTTTCATCTTTTCTGTTTTCATTTTAATTTTAGTTACAAGTTACAAATAAAGTCAGTAACAGTAGTATTCAGGTGCAGAAATGTAATAACTAAGTGTAAAATAACACAATAGTGCTCACTGCACAAGTTAAATACAGATTAATCTTTGTTAGAGCTGTAGTGTTATTTGATTAGCAGAGGCAGGTATTTATTGGCTGCTGTCTCTTTAAGACCAAATGCACGGACATAATACTGACACACATCCGGTTTCTTTCTAAGCTGTTTACATTCATTTAAGACATAACCGACTGCTTTTACTAGAATACTTGCCAAAGAGACTTACTTCTTGTCCTGAATCTGGATGCGGTTCCAGTAGAGTGGTTTCATGGGGCAGGCCGGTTCGACAGCAGGTTTACGCGGCGCTTTCTCAGTCGCCTGTCCGAATCCAAACCCGCCAAAAACAGGAGGCGGAGGG